TCCTCCTCCTCCTCTTGCTGACGTTTCCTCGTTTCCAAGATTTCGTAGTGAATCTGGTGCAATATAAATCTGTTCCAACTCTGAAATTTAACAACAGCGGATCAACGTACGACAGTTGCCGACGATAGTTTTGCAATTTTCGGTCGTCGAAGCAGCACTACTCGCGCGAAGTTGCGAGTTTCGATCCGAGAGGGTCACCAGCGAGCCAACAGACGGACTCGAATCGCGTCGCGTCGCGTCGCGTCTCTCTCTTCCCTCGATCGGAATTCGACTCGGGTGGCAAATGGAGAAAGGGTGGCAGCGGTCGGCGAAGGAACAATCGCAAGATTCCACTTACACCGGCGACAACTTTTCCATCAACAAGATTTATTACCGTCGCCGTTGCCGTTGGACAAACTCGGTTCGAAGCAGACAGCCGAAGCTCGGCATCTCGTCCTCTCGGTGACGCGAAAGTCGTCGGGTTTTGCACTCGGAAACGCACCTGTATCAATCGTATCAAATTCGTTTTTCTCTTGGCTTCCGGACGGAGATCGCCAAGTATGAGTCCCAAGGCTGCCGCTTCGGGGACCGTTCGGAAAGCTCGAAGGAAATTGGCTGCCTGACAAGGCAATCCTCGGGACGTGTCCAACATGTGAAACAAGAATCCCAGTTCGCAGGACAGGCAGAATTCTCTTTGACAGGAATGAGAGAGCAAGGCTATTCTCACAGGTTCGCAGTAATAGAGTAACTGGAAGAAACGTGAACGGTACGGACAGACGTTAACGTCGGATCGGCCGGATACGGAGCGCGAGCTCGTTTTCCCGAAGGAAGAACGAGACTCGTCGCGTCGATCGCGAAGGTGGCAACTCGCGGTTACCTGCAGCATAGCGTTGCAATAACTGTTGGGAAGGGTGGCTTCGAGACCGCAGAAGTTGGTGCGATTATACTGATCGAAATCGAACTCGTCGTAACCGAGACGCGAGTACTTGACCTCGATCTTACGATAACGTTTAGGTATGGCCACGAAGGTGCCGTCGTCCGTTTTAGATCGCGAGTCTCCCGCGAAGAGCTTGGCAACCACTCC